GGCACTGCAATCACCTCCCCGGCACAGCAGCGCCCAAGTGGGGGCCCCAGGGCACTCCCCCCCTTATCTGGGAGCCAAACTGCCTCTGGGTGGGTGGGGGGCAGTGGCCCCCCGGCCGTGTGATGATGACACTCGGGTCCCCCTTCCCTGCGCAGGGGCCCCCTCGCCCTCCCTGGGGGCGGCTCATCCGCTCGGCTGGCTAATGCAATAAAGCTCTAATCAATATTTTAAAGAAAGTAAATGGACCCTCCCGCCCTCGTTAAGAGGCCACGGGGCCCCTGGCTCAGGCCCCACGCCCCCAGCTGGCTTTGGGCTTTGAAAAGGAGAATAATCCACGGGAGAAAGGGGTTCAGAGGGGATCCCCCACGCCTTAACCGGCTCCTGGGGATTCAGAGGAGGAGGCACGGGCTGCCTGCTGCCCCAGACCCTCCTGGAAAATCCCAGTTCCACCGGCCATGTGCGCAGGGCTGGTCTGGGTGGAGGCGGGGGGGTCCGGTTTCAGCCACCCCCGCAGCCCTGCCGAGGTCGCTGAGTTGCTTTCGGTTTATTTTTCCCCCAGCAGTGCACTTTGAAACGCTGTATCTCGGGGTGCGCTGCACCACCCCAGATAAGGGCTGAGGTTTTCGCGCCTGTGTGCCACCGGCACGGCTCAGATGTCCCCAAGGCAAGAAACCTCTTGCCCCACTAAAGCCCCAGCACACCCCCCCGGGGCTGGCACAGCCTCCCACTGGCACTGTGGTGACTTAAATCCTTCCTGAAGCAGAAATGGGGTGTTAAACATCAGCCTAACACAGAGGCGGCCACTGCAGGACACCCCAAAAGGGAGCAGCCAAAATGGAGAGCCCCAGAGGGAGAGTGGTGGCTGCTGCAGCCAGAAGAACACAGGCAGGAGATGAACACAGGCAAGAGATGAACACAGGGAGGAGATGAACACAGGCAGGAGATGAACACAGGCAGGAGATGAACACAGGCAGGAGATGAACACAGGCAGGTGGATTCCTCGAGCTCCTGCCATGTGGGACGGGGCACTGGCATGCAGGGTGCCCCATGCCTGAGGGAGCACCAGCAGCACAGCAAACTCCAAAAGAGGCAGAGAGGCTGCAAACTCCAGCTCCAGGGGCTGCCACTCCACCAGAGAGGCTCCCACTCCTCCCACTCCCAGTATTAGAAGAGAGCAGTAATAGCAATAATGAAACACAAAGATCAGAGCAGGGATCTTGGGGGGCAGCAGCAGCAGCAGAGCCCCCACAGCGCTGGGGTACAGAACTCCGAGCAGTATTTTCCCTTTGCTGGCAGCAGCTTGCTGGATTTTTAGCCATTTCCTACGGGGAGCCTCTTCCTACCCAGAAAATGCCCCTTTTTCCACCCCGAGGAGCCACGGTGCCCCCGAGTTCCCCATGTGGCTGGGGGCTCCTTTGTTCTGCGGCGCCCGGGTCAGGCCGAGCTGACCTCGGCCTGTGCAGTAGCCGTCCCTGGGGACAGGGAGGTGCCACGCGCCGGCTCCCTAACCTCCCTCACCTCCATAACTCTTCCTCACGCCCTCCCCTTCCTCCTCCCTTCAGCTGGGCCCCATCCTCCTGCCTCCGGCCCCCCACGGCTCCAAGCCGAGCACCAGTTCACAGGAATCCGTCCCAGATGGGTCAATAAAGCCCGGCAGTGGAGGATGGGGGCAGCCCCCGGCTGCCGGGGTTTGGGTGTGGAGAGGCACAGGGGGCTTGGACGGTGGCACTTCCCGGTGTTCTCAAGCACAGAGAGCCACGGGCCGAGGATGCCGGCGGCACCAGCACAACCAGAGCTGAATCCAAACTGGGTCTCCTGCAGGGAGAGCTGGACAGCCAGGGAATTAAAGGTTGGTGGGAGAGTGCTGCCAGAGGTACTGAGGAGCTCCTTGACAAAAAATAAAAAGCAACCCCAAAAGAGCCCAGGGGCAGGCAAGGCAGAACACTGGCACAGCCACGCACAGCACCACGTCCCTGCTGGCTCAACCACATGGGTGTTGGAACTCAGTGCATCCCTCCGGGTGTGCAGGGTTGCCAAGAACCCCGCCGGGGGACTCAGAGACCCCAGCATGCAGCCCAGAGCACCTGGGGATTTGATTGTGGCCCCTGGAGCAAGTTGCCAACTTTGTATGAAGACCTGAAAGTCACAGAGGTTTGAATAGTATAATAATAAAATGATCACAAAGTGAAAATGTAGATTTTAGGATTTTTGGTATGGGGGTTGTAGGGACAAGATGGAGGAATCTCGGCATGTCCAGCCTTTCTTCTTGTTCTGCATTTTCTGCAGTGATGTTGGCACTTTGGGATTGGTTTAGAGTAGAAGTGCACTGTCTAACATAGGTGATAGGTATTGGGAATTAAGTGTAAATATGTTATACGTAGTTTGTAGCATAAAAAGTATAAAATATAAATATATATTTTTAAAAATACATAAAATTATATTAAAATATAAAAATATATATAAAAATATATAAAAATATATTAAAATATATTAAAATATATTAAAAATATAATAAAAATATATTAAAAATATATTAAAAATATATTAAAAAATATTAAAAGTATAAAAAGACCTCAGGGCCGGTCAGAGTGCCTGTGGCTGCCCTGCTGAGCAGACCTCGGCTGGGCAGAAAGAAAATTTTATAGATAAGAATTAATAAACAACCTCAAGACCGAAAAGTGAAGAGTCCAGACTCGTTCTTCAGTTGTGTGGGCCGAAGCAAAGACATCCTGCACATCTTGGGGCAGCAATTATCAAACAGCAACCCGAGACACGGCGACCCTGCTGCTGGGGTTCTCCCTAAGGCGCCTCCACCAGCGGGGATGGATGGGGTTTGGCATCCCCTGCCCCACACAGGGACCCTGCTGCCGGGGTTCCCCTTAAGGCGCCTCCAGCAGCGGGGATGGATGGGGTTCGGCATCCCCTGCCCCGTGCTGCCCTCGCTGTTTACATTCCTGCTGCTCCTTCCCAGCTGGGCTGCTGGGCTGGAGCCCGGCGGCACGGCACGCGCTGGAGCCCGGCCAGGAGGAGCTCCCGGCCAGCGCCGGCTGCGCCAGCAACGCCCTGGCCCCGCTCCAGGGGCCGCGATCCAAGCGCGCTCGGTCGGTCGCACGGGGCTGACGTGCCGGGGAAAGCCTCTCCAGGCCCGGCATCGCCTCCGCTCCTCCGCCCACGGAGGATTTCCAACCCCCTCCGGCTGCTTCCACCGTTCACCACCGAGCTGGGCTCTTCCCAGGGACCCCAGGAAGGGACACGGAGGGAAAGGGGGCACGGTTTGGGGGGACAAGGAAAGCACTGGGAATGGGGCTGGTGTTTCCAAGTGTTGTGGCTGTGATAGGGGACCTGGCAGAGGCTACGGCGCTGACATGCTGACGAACAGGAAGATCAGAGTTGTGGTATTGAAAAGCCTTTTCACAGCTACGAGTTCACGGCCCCGGCCCCTCGCTCGCCGGCGGCAGGAAGCACCAGAGAGAGAAACCACAAGAAGAGCAGGTAGCCTGAGTGCAGTGGCACGAGGGATGCGCAGGGCAGGAGCATCCCTGCATCCCTGCAGCTGGACAGGGGAATCCCTGCATCCCTGCAGCTGGACAGGGGAATCCCTGCATCCCTACAGCTGGACAGGAGCATCCCTGCAGCTGGACAGAGGAATCCCTACAGCTGGACAGAGGAATCCCTGCATCCCTACAGCTGGACAGGGGAATCCCTGCATCCCTACAGCTGGACAGGAGCATCCCTGCAGCTGGACAGGAGCATCCCTGCATCCCTGCAGCTGGACAGGGGAATCCCTGCATCCCTACAGCTGGACAGGAGCATCCCTCCAGCCCTACAGCTGGACAGGAGCATCCCTCCAGCCCTACAGCTGGACAGGGGAATCCCTGCATCCCTGCAGCTGGACAGGGGAATCCCTGCATCCCTACAGCTGGACAGGGGAATCCCTCCATCCCTACAGCTGGACAGGAGCATCCCTGCAGCTGGACAGGGGAATCCCTCCATCCCCACAGCTGGACAGAGCATCCCTCCATGCCTACAGCTGGACAGGAGCATCCCTCCAGCCCTACAACCAGGCAGCACCAGGAGGATGGCCACATGCTCCCTACTCCCCTCTGCCAGCCCTGTTCTGAGCCTGCCCACATCCACATGTGCCAGCAGATCCCGGCAGCCCCTTCCCCCCTTTTGGAAGGGATGTGACAGCCTCCTGAAAGTGAAGGGGCAGGGGTGGTCGCATCCCTCCTGAAAGGCCACCATGGCCTGGCTGCTCCATCTGGGTCCCATCTGCTGCTGCTGGTCCTGCCCCTTCCCCCAAACTCTGATGTATTTAAACACACATCAAAGGTGCCGGGCAGACCCTGGGGAGCCCTGGCTGCAGCAGTTTTCTTCTATCAGTCAGAGTGGACTGCATCCAGCTCTGGTGCTGGGAGAGGGGGAAATGTGCTGGCCTCGTTGCCTGGGGAAGGCAAGGAAGGGGGCAGCCAGGTGCTTTCTCCCTGGTTTCACTTTTTCATGGCATTTTGGCAGCAGCAGGGGTGCAGCTCTGCCCCCCACCAAGCATCCATGGGGCCAGAGTTGCCCTGCCAGGCATCAGCTCTGTAGTGATGGTGATGGGAGACAGACAGGTGCCCATGAAAAATGGCTTGGAGAGAGTGGAAAACCAAGAGATCCATCAGATTTATAAATCTGGGGTGATTTTTTCATAACTTCCAGCAAGAATCCTCCCAGATCCCTGCAGCAAACCCAACCGCACTGCCTGCCTGCACCAGAACAACCTGGACACAGAATCCACTCAGAGTCACCCAACCAGGGAAGGGGTGAGACTGAGCCCAGCACTAGAACCCCGGAGAAATCCCACGCATTCCTAATGACAACAGCAGCTGGATCTGAGGAGAACACTGCCGGAGGCGGCGCTGCCAGAGGCACCTCCCCACGCTCCGAGGACACGGGGGTGAGCAGGAGCAGGGAGAGGGACGGCAGGCAGGGACGCGCATGGCTCGGCGGGCACGTACCTGCTTGAACTGCTCCTCGTAGGTCCAGTCGCCGTGGTCAGGGGCTGGTGGTGGGGGCTGAGCGTGGCCCAGGCCGGGGGGCAGCCGCTCCTGCCCCCCTGGCAGCCGTGGGGGCTCCCCCCGGTAGTGCTGGGGCGCTGGGGGCTTGCGGAGCAGCAGGGATCCCGCACCCGCCCGCACCGCCTCGGCCGAGCTGAGCCCTTCCTCTCCCATGTCTTCTTCTTCCTCGTAGTCTTCCTCTTCCTCCTCCTCTTCTTCTTCCTCTTCCTCCTCACCCAGGTCTTCTTCAAAGTCATCTTCATCCCATTTGCCCTTCCTGGAGCCGGGAGGAGAGGAGAGGTTTGGTCCCACGCTGGATCCTAAAGCTCATCCCTCTCTCCTGCCTGCCCCAGCTGCGGGGTTGGGACCACCCACCCAGCACACAGTGGAGTCCCACTACAGCCCATTGGTTGGGGCATCTCTGGGGCACAGCCAGCCCCCAGCATCCCGGGAGCAGCTCCATCATGGACCTCTCCTCTGCCAGATGGCTCCTGGCCTGGCCCTGCCCTGAGAGGATGCGCGCTGGAGGCAGCCAAGGGTGCTGCATAATTTAACACCAGCCTGGGGTCCTCTGTCCCAGCCCCACGTGGCTGCTGGGCAGGGATGGGATGTTGTGCCAGCCCAGCATGAGGAATCACCACCACAGAGCCAAACCACTGCTCTGAAATATCCCAACAGCTCTAACCCAAGCCGCGGGATCCCCGCAGCCTGCCCAGCCCCACCAGTGTCGTGCCACTTCCCTGCCCCTTCCCCAAACCCCCGAGAGCTGCCCGAGCACACTCACAGATCCTCCTCCTCCTCGGAGCCCATCTCCTGCTGGTACCCGCCACCATCTTCCTCCTCCTCTCCGCGCTCCTCCTCTTCCTCCTCCTCGGAGGCCTGGCTCTCATCCGACAGCCCCGGGCTGGGCGAGTGGCTGAGGCCGGCGGCGGCCGCCCGCATGGCAGCCAGGGCGGCCATCTGTGCCCGCTGCATGTGCGCGCTCTCGGGCTCCGCTCCCTCCTCCGAGGGCGCCGCGTCCTGCCCACGGCCCCGGCTGCTGGCAGGGGGCTGCCCCAGGGGCTGCGAGGGCTGGGCTGGAGGGGACGTGCAGCGTGGTGGCTGCGGTGGCGGCGGCTGCTGCTGCTCCTGCTGCCGCGCTTCCAGCGCCTGCTGCAGCCGCGCGCGCTGCTGCCGCTGCAGGTTCTCCATCACCGCCTGCAGCTTCATGGCTCTGCCGGCAGGCGGGGGGTCCCCGGGGGGCCGGGGGGCGATGCACCCGGGGGGCAGTGCCCGGGGGGCAGCGCCCGGCAGGCTGCCGCGCTCCAGCGGGGCTGGGGGCCAAAGCTGGGCAGCGCCGGGGGCAGGCAGCCCTGGAGGGGGCTGCCGGGGGTGAGGGCAGTGCCGTCGGGGTTGACACCGGGTTAGGAAGGAAGGATGTGACCCTTGATCCCTCTCAGGCTTGGTCCGATGTCTCCTTGGCTTAAGGGCTACGGTGTGTCGCAGGCTTGGTGCTGCCCGTTGGGATTGGGGTGCTGCTTGTCCCAGGCAGGCTCCAAAACTCCTCCTCAGGCTCAGCAGGCAGCAGCTGGAGCACGGCACATCACCCTTTCCCTCGCAGAGCTGGCACTTTCTGGGGGTGGCAGCCTCAGGGTCCCCTGCTCACAGCCGGTGTCCCTAATCCTCAGCTGGGTCAGTGTCCGGCAGGCGTCGGCGCAAACCTGTGGGAGAAGTAGAGCAGAGGGTCAGCGGAGCTGTGGGCAGGAGCTGGCGAGCAGGAAGGAGTTAAAGACAGCGCAGGAGCCTCATTAATCTCGAGCTAATGAGATAGGGCGGCCGGGCCTGCTGCTGAAGGGGGAAGGGGCCTGCCGGACCTGATAGCCCTGCCCGGCCCTGCAGGCAGCGGATACCGGCGGACCCACGCCCGCAGATAACAGGCCCTGGGGAGGGACATCCACCGGGTCCCACACAGGGGACAAGGCACATCCCCACCAGGGGAGCACCGGGCTCATCGTGGTGGGGCGTGGGCAGCACTGGGGTCTGCGCTGCACACTGGAGGGGCCCCAAAGCACCCCAGGGCAGATCCCAGGGGATGGACAGGCAGAGCTTTGAAACCCTGGCAAACAGGCTCAGCCAACCTCCCCCAGAGCCCCCTTGCTCCCCTTCCCTGGGGGGCCTCCAAGGCAACGTGAGGCTGCAAGCAGCTCATCTGTGCTTTGCCCCAGTGGAAAACACCGAGGGGAGTTCAGCTCGACCCTGCAGAACCCCAACGCCCTGGTCTGGATCCTTTCTAGCAGTGAGCTCCCAAGCCCTGGTGTGGCCGGCAGCTCGGTGTGGCCGGGCAGCCCCCGGTGTGGCCAACAGCTCAGTGTGGCCGGCAGCTCGGTGTGGCCGGCAGCTCAGTGTGGCCAACAGCTCGGTGTGGCCGGCAGCTCGGTGTGGCCGGCAGCTCGGTGTGGCCAACAGCCCCCAGTGTGGCCAACAGCCCCCGGTGTGGCCAACAGCCCCCGGTGTGGCCAACAGCCCCCGGTGTGGCCAACAGCCCCCGGTGTGGCCGGGCAGCCCCCGGTGTGGCCGGGCAGCTCCCAGCCGTGACCTCGCCTGCACTGAAGGAGCTCACCGCAGCACCGCGGTCGTACCGGGTACGGGCTTTGCCGGTTTCAGCTGCCCGGGGGCACACACGGCAGGACCCTCACGGGGACTGACCGACCGTGGGGTTGCGGGGCCAGGACAGCGTACGGTGCACCGGGACCGGCAGCTCCACCACAATCCCGCGCATTCTGGAAAGAGGAACCTGCTGCCCGTGCGGGCCGGGGCCGCGGACGGGCGGGCGGGCGGGAGCCGCTTCCCCCACGCCTCGCCGCGGCTGCATCCGCTCCCGGCCCGGCCCGGCCCGGCTCACGCCATGCACGGACACGTCGCCACCGTCACGGCAAGCTCAGCAGCCACCACCTCCAGCGGGAGCCAGCGGAGGCGCGGCACAAGCGGGCCAGCGGTGGCCGTGCCTCAGTTTCCCCTCCGAGCAGCGCCGTGTGGCCCCCACGGAGGAGGGAGAGATCGCGGTACGGACGCTCCCCGCCCCGGAGCCGCCGCTCACCGGCCGCGCTCCTGCCCCGCGCCGCACCTGAACCCCGTCCCCAGCGCCATCCACGAGCGAACCGGAGCCGGACCGAGCCGGGCACGTGCTCCTGGCTCCCCGGGTGACACGGTGCCAGCACCGGGCGCGGAGCCGCCTCCTCGAGCACCGCGGGCCGCGCCGGAGCCACGCTGCCGCTTCTCCACAGGGGAAACCCGAGTGGTGCGGCCACAGCCGGGGCTCCGTGGCACCCCGGTGACCTTGAGCCGTGCCCCTTTGTCCCTCCGGGGCCACGGGGCCCGGTGCGTCCCCGCCGTGGGGCGGTGACGGGGGTCCCGCGAGGGATTCGAGGCGGCGGCGTCACCCGCGTCCCCGGGGCAGGTGCTCGGCAGCGACAGCGGCTAAAAATAGGCAGCGGGGGTGTGACGGAAGGGCCTTTGTGCCACCGACACCGGGGCTGGGCTGGCCGCGGCCGGACACCCCCCAGGCGGGCTGCCGGCATTGCCGGGAAGGGCTCCGGGGGCGGCGTGGAGGCTGAGTGAGGAAGAGGAGGAGAAGGACAGGGTGGGTGCCCGGTGAGTGCCGTCCCTGGGGACGGACGGGGCTGGGGACCCCAGGAGAACAGGAGTCCCATCCCCAAAACGGAGCCCGGCCCCGCTCCCGGCGGCACGTGGCACCGGCGGCGCTCAGAAGGACCGGGCACGGAGGCGGCGGGGCCCCAATGGGCCCTGGTCCCGCGAACGAACGGGGGGAAACGGCCGCCCCCGACACGGAGAGGCGAGCCTGGGTCGGCCCGGCCTGGCCCCTCCGCCGTTCGGACCCCGGGACACCGCGGGGCGGGGGGGGGGGGGGGGGGCACAGGGCGGGGCCACGGGGCTCTGCCCGGCCCGGACAGCGGCGCCCGGCGAGAACGGAGAGTCAAGGCCGGGAACGACCGCGGGGGAGGAACCCCAGCCCCGCGTGGGGGAGGCGGCCGGTAACCGGCCGCGGGGGGAGGGGGCGCCGCGCTCCCGCCCAGCACCGGCAGCGGAGGGCCCAGCCCACCGCGGAGAGGCGGCCGGTCCTGGGCTCCGCTCCCCGGCCCCGGTCCCGCCCAGCCCCCGACTCCCGGTCCCGGCTACGGCCGCGGCGGAGCTCCCGTTCTCGGTGCCGATCCCATCGGCGGGAGCGGTGCGGCGGCGCGTCCCCCTTACCCGGTGCAGGCCGTGCGCCGCGAAGCCGCATAGCAGCCGCGGCCGCCCGGGGTCGGGCTCGGCGGGGCCGGTGCGCGCGGGGCCCGCGGCGCTGCTCTCCCCGCGGGCGGGCGGGCGGCGGGCGGGCGGCGGGACCCGGCCCCGCCCCGCGCTGCCCCGCCCCGCGCCGCCATTGGCCCGTCGCGCCCGTCGCGCCCCGCCCCTCCCCGCCCCGCGCTCTCATTGGTCCGTCTCTCCTGGAACGCCCCGCCCCCCGCCGCCATTGGTCGGCATGCAAATACTGCGCGCGGCCGGGGCGCGGCCGCAGCGCCGCCTCGCGGACGGGCGGGGGAACGGCGCCGGGCAGGGCGCGGGGCCCAGTAGAGCGGCGGAGGGGGGGGCTTAACGGGGGGCAACGGGGGGTTTAACGGGGGTTAACGGAGGTTAATAGGGCTTTAACGGGGGTTAACTGGAGGTTCACGGGGATTAACGGGAGAGCTATCGGGGGGACAACAGGGATTCACGCGGGGTTAATGAGGTCCGGCAGCCGTCGAGCCCCGGTTCCAGGGGCTCCCCGAAGCACCCCCGGTGCCCCACCTCCCGCGACGCCCGGGGCGGGGTTCCCGTGCCCCCGCCCCTGTGACGTCACTTCCAGCGGGCGGTGCCGGGCCCGGTGCCGCCGGTGCGGGCCGGGGGTGAAGGAGGCGGAGGGAGGTCCCGGTCCCGGTTCTGGTCACCGTCCCGGTTCCGATCCCAGTCCCGGCGCGCCATGGTGGTGCTGCGGGGCGGCGCGGGCCCCGAGGAGCCGTTCCCGTGAGTGCGGGCCCGGGGCCGGGCGGGCCGTGGGGCGGTCGGGCCGGGCAGGAGCCCCCCGGGCTGTCGGTGCGGGCGGGGAGCGGCGGCGCCTCCCGGGACAGCCCGTCCCCAGCTCCCCGGGCCCGGCGGCGGTGCCAGAGCGGAGCCCGGCACCGGCATAATGAGCCTTATAATTAGCGTTTATCCCCTGGAGGTCACGGTGCTCCCGGTCACCGGGGCTGGGCTGGAGCCCCGCGCTCCTGCACGGGTGTACCGGGGGCTCGGGACGGAGCTGCGGGACGACTTTGCTCTGCCACGTTCTGCTGCCCAAGGGCCAGTGACAGGAATAGCTCCGAAATCCCCTGGCAGAGAACGAGTTCCCCTTCCAGGCGCTGTTCCCTGGGACAGGAGGAGAAGGCAGGAGTCTGTCTGTCTGTCTGTCTGTCTGTCAGGCCCATTGCCCCGGGGTCACGGTTTGAACGATCCCTCCTGGGGTCCCGTATGAGCCTGGCGCGGCACCCTGGCTCAGAGGGCGCTGCTCTGGCTCGGGTGGCTGTCCCGAGGTCACTGTCCCCTGTGAACCTCCCTCCAGGCTGGCACCGGGCGGAGGTGGCAGCGCCAGGGCAGACGTGGCAGTGCCGGGTGCCAGGGCAGCCACGAACGGCCCTGGAGGCTGCAGGAAGGGAGCAGAGCGTGGCTCAGCCTGTTCCCCTCCCAGCCACGGCGCTCGGGGGTGCTCCCAGCCTGCTGACCCCGGGTTTTGACACGCCAGGGAGCGCCGGGCTCGCAGCTGTGTACTCAAACCCCCGAGCTGGGGCCAGTGTAAGGTGACTCCCTCTGTTTATTCAGGTTTTTGTAACCGTCTTTGTATCACAACGTGATCCACCAGCCCTGGTTGCTGGCTGTGGCGGGTTGGGTTACTGCTCCCCACCCGTCCTCTGGGCATTGCCTTGATACCTGAGTCTCTTTTATTCTTTCCAAGCCCACCTTTGCCTCTGTTTTCTCTCCAGTGGTTGTTTTTATACCCCCCGCACCAGCAGCCAAGACTGTATCACTGCCCCCATGCAGGCAAAAGGGGAAAAAAAAAAATCAAGGTTTTGGCGAGGGTGAGCAGCTGGCTGTTAGCCCAGGCTGCAATCGGACAGCACAACCTGCTCTGCCCTGTGCCCAGATCGCCTCTGTCAGGACCTGATTGCAGGACTGGGGCTCCCAGAATGCTGGAAAGGAGGGGACACGGTGGGGACATGGCCCTGAGGATGGAGCAAGGCCGTGGCAGTGGAGACAGTGGTGACTCTGGGCAGCTCCTCAGGATTGTCCATCCTGGGCGTTGTTTCAGGGGTGTTGATTTTCTCCCCCACCTTCTGCTGGGCTAAAGGAAACCCACACAACCCTGAGGGGAAGCTTCTTTGCAAGTGAAGGCAGTGAAACTTCCTGTCTTTGGTGTTTAGTAAACTTTGAAACCTGAGCAGTTGCGTTCAGCGCCCGGCCAGCTTCTCGCTTGCGGTGTGGCTTCATTTTCCCATAAAATGCCTCAGTTTTATGGTCATTCCTCAGCTGTGCCTGTGACTAAGCAACACCCTGATTGTGTGGTGAGCAGAGCACCTTTGGGTGCCCCCAGGAGCTGGCAGTGCCAGGCTGGGGTGGTGTTCCTGCCGCCCTCAATAAAGAGTGGCAGGGTCAGTGCCAACCCACTCAGGACCATGCTGAGCGTGAGGTGCAGCAGGGATGGATCCAACGCTCTGCTTCCTGTGTGGCACGCTTAATTGCCCAGGTTAATTGCCCAGGTTAATTACCTGGCCCTCCCAGTGCTGACACACAGCTGCTTTGAGCAGCTTGGAGGTCACAGTGACCCGAGGGGGACGGGTCCTGTGGGAGGATGTGTTGCAGTAACACTGGTGCTGGTGATGCTCTGGTGCCCCATCTCCCTGCTGCCCTGGCTGCCCCAGAGCCCTCGGCTGGGCTCACCCCTGTTGCTGTGTCCCCCAGGAGGATCGAGGACTGCCTGCCCCTGCTGCAGGACTCTCCCTCCAAGCGTTTCTCTCCGTCCAAGAGGAAGCAGTACTACATCAACAAAGCCATCCGCAACTCCGACCTCATCCCCAGGGCCAAGGGCCGCAAGAGCCTCCAGAGGCTGGAGAACAGTAAGGGCCAGGCAGGGTTTCTTCCCCAGGGCAACCTCCCCTGAGCTGTTCTGGGGGCAAGGAGCCTCTCTGGAGGTGCTTCCCCCCCTCTGAGGCTTTGCTCTTGGCCCCAGCTCGTTACCTGATGACGCTTCTGGAGCAGGATGAGTGCGGGAGCGACGAGGGAGAGCTCACCCACTCTGCCACCCCCAGCATCTTCACTGAGGCCTGTAACAATGAGACCTATGTGGAGGTGGGTACAGCCACCCCGCTGCCTTGGGGACACTGGAATGGCATGGCATGGTTGTAGTTCACTCCTGCATCCCTCTGCCTCCCTGGCCTGAGCAGCTTCTGCTTGGTTTGGTGTCAGGGCGGGATCTGTGGGATCTGCTGCCGTGTGTGCCAAGGGGTGATGGGCTCCTGGGGCCCATGGGATGAGGGAATTTCCAGGCAGGTCCTCTGCTGGAGAGTTGTGGCTGCAGGGCAGTGAGTGCCTGGTGAGCTGCAGCTCTTCCTCCTGCACAAGCCCCTTGCCAAACCCCCGTTGCCTAACACTGACCCTGTCACCGGGTGTTTTGAAATGTGGCCTCTCCCTGGTGTGACAGGGCCACACTCAGGGCCGTCCCTGGGGATGAGAGGGTGAGGAGGGGGCTCGTGGGGTGTGGGAAAGGGCCCTGGGTAGCCAGGTGCTCCCCCAGACCTCTGCAGTGGGGCTTGGTGGCTTCTGTTGTCAGATCTGGAACGACTTCATGAACCGCTCGGGAGAAGAGCAGGAGAGGGTCCTGCTCTACCTGGAGGAGGAGGCCAGGAAGAAGCACAGGAGGAAGCTGCCTGTCAAGAATGAAGACAAGTGGAAAGGTGCTGGGAGGGGAAGGCAGGGTGGGGACGGCCTCTCCCTTTCCTTCCTTGTGTACATTCTGGGAGGGCTGCACCCACTCCCAGTCTGTGGTGGGGCCAGGGGATGCCTGAGCCCACGCCATGGGTGTGGCAAGGGGGGTGGGTTATGCCTGCAGACCCCCACCATGGACCAGGGAGGGTTTTTTGGGAGCCAGAAGTGGCTGAGATGATGGGCACAGCCACCCCCAAACCCCCTGTGCTGGGGAGGGCATTGCTGCTTTAGGGGTGACTGTAAAGGGAGCCCTGTGTGGCAGCTGGGGGGACACTGGCTCTTCCCAAAAAGTGACCCTGCGAGCTCTGGAGCTGTGAGCTGTGCCTAAATCCCTTCTCCCTCCTGCAGAGCTCCCTGCCTACACCCCCCAGGAGTGCTTCCAGCGCATCAGCCGCCGCCTGCGCGCCACCCTCAAGCGGGGCAGGATCCCCATGGTGAGCTGGGGGTCACAGCCTGGCACAGCAGGGCTGGGGGTATTGGAATTATTACCAATATTGTGGACAGGACCTGCCTGAGCTTGTCTGGCCCTTGCCGCTTGACCAAATAGCGGCAACTGTGGTGTTTCACCCCACAGACACTTTTGGCTGCCTGGGTGTGTGGTGTTTCCACCCCACAGACACTTTTGGCTGCCTGGGTGTGTGGTGTTTCACCCCACAGACACTTTTGGCTGCCTGGGTGCTGCAGTTGGGCTCTGCAGACAAGTCCAGGCCTGCAGGAGCTCTGGTGGTGCTGGGATGGAGCTTCCCCCCATAACAGGGGCTGCTCCTCAGGTTTCCCTCTGTGGAGAAGCTTTAAGGGGATGGTGAAGGAAAGGAGTTGGTTCTGCTGGAGGGTTTGGATCCAGAGCTTTATTCTGGCCTCTGAATGCAGCACCAGCTCCAACAGAACTCCCTGAGCCCGTGGCTGCTGCTCCTTTGAACCCCAGGGAGAGGGGCAGGGAAGGGGCAGGGAGGCACCAAGCAGGGACAGGAGGGGAGGGACAAAGGGACAAAGGACACCTGGATGGCCCAGTGTCCCCTCCAGGGGTAGAGGGCATCCTTTGAATCTGCCCAATCCCTTCTGGAATGCCAGGACTGACAGACAGTGCTGGGAGGGGAAAGGAGAGGGGACTGACACACCTGGGAGGGAATCATCAGGGAGAAACCCGGGGTGTCTGAGGCAAACCCTGAAATGCCACCACAACAGGGGGGGCTGCCAGGGGTCCCTGCACAGCCCAGAGCTGTGCCCTGACCTCGTGCCACATTTCAGAGCAGCTCCTGGGAACGTGCTCGTGTTGCAGACACACATCCAGCTCCCAGCACATGGGGTTTTCCTGGCTCAGTTCAGATTTTTCTGGCACTTACAGGGCTTTTTTTAGTGGTTGTCTCCCAGTTTCTGTGCAGTGACAGCAGGTGAGAGGTGAAACCGGGCGTGTTTGTGCACGGGGACAGCAGTGGGGCCTTTGGGGTCTTCACAGTGGCCCACACAAGGTTATTTGGGGCAACTCTGATGTATTTTGAAAGGGGGTAAAAGTGCACCAGGAAGGAGAGAGGTAAAATTTGGGGCAACTCTGGTGTATTTTGAAAGGGGGTAAAAGGAGGGAGGTGAATGCAGCCCTGCACTTTCTCTGCCATCCCAGGGGGTGCTGCCTCCCTGTGCTCTGTGGGCTCTGTTTGTTTTTTCCTGGTGCTAATTAGAGCCTCTCAGTGCAGCCTGGGCTCCTCCTGCCCGCTGCCTTGTTTGCCTTCAGTGTGCTGCTCTGTGTCTCTGGGGTCACAGAGCTCAGCAGAGCACTGAGCTTTGCCTGTTGGCTGTGAGCACCAGGGATGGTGCCAGCCCTTGGCACACACAGCGTGGAGTTGGCAGGAGCTGGATCCTTCCCTGCCTCAGGGGCTGGAGATGGGAGATTTCTCCTCTCCCTGCTGTCTCCCATTCAATTAGCTTGCCCAGGAGCTGCTGGCAGTAAATCCTGGGGAATCAGTTGTGCCACCACTGTCCTTTCCTCACTGAGTTCCTGCCTCTCCTCACAGGGTACACTGGAGGGGCTGGAGGAGGAGCTGCTGGCCTTCTTCTCTGTCACCCCCCACTCTGTGTACACAGCCCTGATGGATAACAGGTATCTCCCCATCCCTGTGCCCCAGGGCTGCCCCAGACTGCAGAGGGGATTTGGGAGCACAGGACACCCCTGGGGCTGGGTCTCCCCCTGGCCTGGTGGGTGGGAGGCACCTGGGGATGCCTGGGCAGGGCCTTGGGGCACTTTGTGCTCCCCCTCTGCTCTGTGTGTCCCCGGGAGGATGCAGGGCAGGGACGCACAGGTCAGGCTCTAACGCTGTCCCCTCTCCCCCAGCTTTGAGAGGCTCCTGCTCCACGCACTCTGCCAGTACATGGATCTCGTCTCTGCCAGTAAGAGCCCTGTGTCTGCTTGGTTTTAGTTTTGGTTTCCATTTTGTTGTTGTTTTTTCCCCTTTCCCTCCATCACTATCTCTCCTCTCCAGCTCAGCCTTTTTCCTCCCTTCCTCCTGTGGGCCCCACCTCGCCCTGGGGCTCAGAGATAACCCCGCGGTCCCACCCCTTCTGCTTCCTCCCCAGCAATGCCCTGAGCTCCCTGGGCAGCCCCAGTGGTGACCAAGCTCAGCCAGACCCGGCTCTGAGGGGAAATTTGGGTGGTCCAAAGCAAGAATCTGCTCACGGGGTTCCCTCTCCTGCAGCTGCTTCCTCCTCCCAGGGATCAGCCGTGCTGCCCTGGGCATCCCCAAAGGTTTTGTTGCCAAGGCAGGGATGGAACCAGGCTCCATCCCTCCAGAGGAGCTACTTGTGGCAATCAGCCTGAGTGTTAATGACGGGGAGAGTGAGCCCCAGGATGGAGGGCACAGAAAACAGGGGAGCCTGTGCTCACCACGAGCCCCAGGGAGAGGAGGGGAGGCCTGGGAGGGCCTGTTGGACACCCCTGAGAGGGGGACCAGGGTTGTGCTGACCTCTCCATCCCACCCACAGGCTCGGACATCGAAGGGAAGCGCCAGATGAAAGTGAGCAACAAACACCGCGTGTTCCTGCCCCCGGAGCTGCTGCTCTCAGACTACCTGGGCCAGATGAGCTGATGCCCCCACAGCTGCCCTGCCCCTCCTGTGTCCTCTGCAGCCTCTCCCGGACCTTCCTCAGCCGTTGCTCTGCTCCAGCAGCCGCTCCAGGCCGGGGGTTTGTGGCTGTGCCCTTGGCTGTGCTGGCAGCAGGGCAATGGGTGCAGAGCAGGTGCCTCTCGCCCTCCCTGCTCCCCGCACAACCCTCCTGGAACTCTTTGTGTGTCTATTTATAACCCAGGTGTTTTTTAAAAAGAATCAGGCGGGGCCAGCCTCCCTCCGTGGGGTGATTTGGGTCCAGATTTTTCTGCGGTGAAACAGCTCCCGGCGGCTGCTGAGCAATCGCTGAGCCGGCGGAAGAGCCCCAGGGCTGCCGCGTTCCCTCCCGCAGCCCCGCGCCCACCGGGGGCTCGGCCAGGGCGGGGCGTGGGCAGCTCCGGGTGCTTTTTACCCCACAGCCTGCAGAACGGGGCTGTTTTTAAGTGTAATATAGCTTGTGTTTTTTATCACGTGTGTGTGTGTGTGTGTGTGTGTATTTACATGTGTGTGTGCTGGAGGGGTGCAGCCCCCTTTGGGGCTCTGCTTTTCCACGGGGCATTTTGGGGGTCCCTCTATGTGCCAAGGGGTGCTCGCAGGGAAACCTTTGCTGGTTGCTCTTGTCCCACGATGACACCGACTGCCATTAACCGCGGGCACCCCCAGACCCAGGGGAGCCCCTCGCGCCTCCTTCGCTGGTTCAGCAACAATAAAAACGGTGCTCCCCTGCTCCGGCTCTGTGTCTCCGTGGGGATGAGGATGATGATGAGGATGAGGAAGGAGGATGAGGGGGAGGAGGAGGTTTGGGGGTCTCAGCGCAGGCGGTTGGACACGGGATGGAAAATGTGGGTGTGGGGAGGTGGAAAAAATATGGAACGCTTCACGAATTTGCGTGTCATCCTTGCGCAGGGGCCATGCTAATCTTCTCTGTATCGTTCCAATTTTAGTATATGTGCTGCCGAAGCGAGCACGAATCGCCCTTCCCCCGTAAGGATATTTAAAGGCCTAGAAACTCAACACAAACATGATATGGCGACTACAGTGTAGTTGGGTATTGAACGCATAATGAGCCCCCTCGATTATTCCGCAATGTTTCACTTGTCGTTTTCCTCAGATTTTACCAGAATTTCAGAAATACTCCGGCTATGTTTGCTATTCTGCCCGGTGGCTCCTGGGTAGTTTGTTATGCTAATTAGCTCTCTGAGGGTGTCCGCGGCAGTGCCTGAGCGCGCGGCGCAGGCGCGGCACGGGCAGCCCGCGGAGGCGCCGGGGTCCTGAGGAGCGGCGGGCGCCGGTGAGTGAGGCGGGACCGGGACCGGGACCCCCGGGAGCCGCCTGTGACCGCGCCCAGGCCCCTCCTGTGACCTTCCCGCCAGCCCCGGGAACCTCTGGCACCTCCCCGTGTCCCTCCGGCACCTCCCTGTGTCCGGCCCCGGGACCCTCCCACCCGCCGTAGGCTCGGTACCCGCGGACCGCTCCCTCCGCCTCCCCCCGGTACCGCCGGGGTCTCTCCCGGTACGGGGTTGTCCCCACCCGTGTCCTGTGCCTCCCGCTGTGCCCCCTGCGGCTGGGGTCCGGTGTGACCGGCTTTGTGTCGCCCCCAGGCAGGACCGAGGCTCTCCGGTGTCCCGTCCCCGGTGTCCCGTCCGAGCCGGCGGGATGGACCTGGCCTACGTGTGCGAGTGGGAGAAGAAGCCCAAGAGCAACCACTGCCCCTCCATCCCCCTGGTGTGCGCCTGGTCCTGCCGTAACCTCATCGCCTTCACCACGGACCTCCGCAATGAGGAGGAGAAAGGTACCGAGAACCCCTCGGGAAATCCCTCCCGGTGCTCCCGGGAGAGGCCGGGATCCGCTGGGCCGGAGCTCTGCCCTGCCCCTGGATGCTGCTCTCCTCCTTTTCCTTCCATCCTTCAGCCTCTGCGTTTGTTCCCTGGAGTGGGTTTGGTTCCCCTAAACCAGGATCAAGCACTACCCCAAATCATTTCTATAAATGATAAATTTTCTATAAAATGTTTTCCCTGCATCACCTGAGGCTCAGCAGCAGTGCCAAGGGACAGGAATCACTTCTCTGTTCACACAGATCTCACCCATATGGTCCACATCATCGACACCGAGCACCCCTGGGACGTCTACTCTGTCAACTCGGGCCACACTGAAGTCATCACGTGTTTGGAGTGGGATCAGTCAGGTGGGCTGGGCTCTCTGTCATTGTCACCGTGTCCCTGCCCTGCTGTGCATGCCCCAAAGCATTGGGGTGCAATTCCTTGGGGGGTTTTGGCCATTCCCCCTATTCTCAGTGTCATTGTCACTGTGTCCCACCCCTCCTGTGCATGTCCCAAAGGGATGGGGTGCAATTCCTTGGGGGGTTTTGGCCATTCCCCCTATTCTCAGTGTCATTGTCACTGTGTCCCACCCCTCCTGTGCATGTCCCAAAGCAATGGGGTGCAATTCCTTGGGGACTTTTGGCCGTTCCCCCTGTTCTCACGCAGTGTCATTGTCACAGGCTCCAGGCTGCTCTCAGCAGATGCTGATGGCCACATCAAGTGCTGGAGCATGACAGATCACCTGGCCAACAGCTGGGAGAACACAGTGGGCAGCGTGGTGGAAGGGGACCCTGTGGTGGCCCTGTCCTGGCTGCACAACGGTGTCAAGCTGGCTCTGCACGTGGAGAAGGTTTGTCTGAGCTTCCTGAGGGATCTGGGCTGGAATTCTGTGGCCTTTGTGAGGATCCCCCCAGACAAGGGAAGAGATGAGAATCTGGCTCCATGTTCCCAGAAGGCTGATTTCTCTTCTCTTCTCTTCTCTTCTCTTCTCTTCTCTTCTCTTCTCTTCTCTTCTCTTCTCTTCTCTTCTCTTCTCTTCTCTTCTCTTCTCTTCTCTTCCCTTCCCTTCCCTTCCCTTCCCTTCCCTTCCCTTCCCTTCCCTTCCCTTCCCTTCCCTTCCCTTCCCTTCCCTTCCCACCCCACTATACTAAAGAATACAGAAAAGGAAACCTCAGAAGGTTTAACAAGAATTAATCATAAAAACCCCTGACTGACTCAGAGTCTGACACAGCTGGCCATGGTTGGCCATTAAGTTAAAACAATTCACATGTTTGGATAAACAATCTCCAGCCCACATTCCAAAGCAGCAAAACAGGGAGAAACTGAGGCTTCTCAGCTTTCCAGGAGAAAATCCTGGGCAAAGAGGGTTTTTCAGAAAAGATGACAGTGACAGTCTGGCTCAGATGTTGGCAGAGAGCTCAGGATCCTGCCTGTGTTTGTGCTCTGGGCTCTCTTGTTTTTCCAGTTTTTGCTCCCCTATAGTGGATATTTTTGCTCCCCTATAGTGAATATTTGTGCTCCCTATAGTGAATAGTGTTTGCTCTGCTATAGTGGATATTTTTGCTCCCAACGAAGGAGGAATAACGAGGACGACTCCATTGATATCAGAACACTAATTAATTCCTTTTTTCTAATTTTGGCTGCGAGCGCTTACATTTTTTTGACCTTTCTTCCAGTCTGGAGCCTCAAACTTCGGCGAGAAGTTTTCCCGGGTGAAATTCTCTCCATCCCTGACTCTGTTTGGTGGGAAGCCCATGGAGGGCTGGATTGCTGTGACCATCAGTGGCTTGGTCACCGTGTCCCTCCTCAAGCCCAACGGGCAGGTGCTGACGGCCACCGAGAGCCTTTGCCGCCTCCGCTGCCGCGTGGCCTTGGCCGACGTCGCCTTCACGGGCGGGGGCAACATCGTGGTGGCCACATCTGATGGCAGCAGCACCTCCCCTGTGCAGTTCTACAAGGTTTGTGTCAGCGTGGTGAACGAGAAGTGCAAGATTGACACCGAGATCCTGCCCTCGCTCTTCATGCGCTGCACCACCGACCCCGCGCGCAAGGACAAGTACCCGGCCATCACCCACCTGAAATTCCTGGCCAGGGACATGTCAGAGCAGGTGGGCTGGAGTGGAGATTGGTGCTCCCTTAGAGTGCATATTTTTGCTCTGCTATAATGGATATTTTTGCTCCCTTATAGTGGATATTTTTGCTCTGCTATAATGGATATTTTTGCTCCCCTTTAGTGGATATTTGTTCTCCCCTCTAATGGATATTTTGCTCCCCTGTAGTGGATATATGTGCTCCCCTCTAGTGGATATTTTGCTCCCCTACTGTGGATATTTGTGCTCCCCTATAGTGCATATTACGCTCCCCTATAGTGGATATTTTTGCTCCCCTATAGTGGATATATGTGCTCGCCTCTAGTGGATATTTGTGCTCCTCTATAGTGGATATTTTTCCTCCCCTATAGTGGATATTTTTTGCTCCCCTATAGTAGATATTTGTGCTCTGCTATAGTGGATATTTTTCCTCCTCTATAGTCGATATTTTGCTCCTCTATAGTGGATATTTTTCCTCCCCTATAGTGGATATCTGTGCTCCCCTATAGTGGAGATTTTTGCTCCCCTATAGTGGATATATGTGCTCCCCTCTAGTGGATATTTTGCTCCCCTATTGTAGATATTTGTGCTCCTCTATAGTGCATATTTCACTCCCCTATAGTGGATATTTTTGCTCCTCTAGTGGATATTTTTGCTCTGCTATAATGGATATTTTTGCTCCCCTCTAGTGAATATTTATCCTCCCCTATAGTGGATATTTTTTGCTCCCCTATAGTAGATATTTGCTCCCCTATAGTAGATTTTGCTCTGCTATAGTGGACATTTTTCCTCCTCTATAGTCGATATTTTGCTCCTCTATAGTGGATATTTTTGCTCTGCTATAGTGGATATTTGTGCTCCTCTGTAGTGGATATTTTTGCACCTGATGAAGGACAAATGATGAGGAGGATTCCATTGATATCAGAAGGCTAATTAATTACTTTATTCTATACTATATTATTCTGTACATCTAAACTGAGCCTGCCAAGCACTCAACTCTCACACAACTACCCAGACAGTCACCACACACACACACACAGACTTTCTTGGCCCCGACAGGCCAAGGAAACAAAACACCATCACTTTGGGTAAACCATCTCCATATTGCATTCTACTTTTGCACAGCAAATGAGATAAAAATTGTGGTTTTCCTTTCTCTGAGGTTCAGAGAATGTGAATCTCAGAAATCCTTGTGAAGAATTGTGCCTTGCTTTTCTCTGTGAGGAGAGATGTGGCTACAGTGGGCAGCTGCTCTTTGATCCTCCTGGCCTTCCTCAGAGGGTCTGGAGGTGACCAGCACGTCCTGCAATACCTTTGGCATTCCTAGTTGTCCTTTTGGTGCAGCTGGAACCCTAATTCACCTCACTTCCCACTGATTTGATCCTCTGCTTTCTGCTGGTGGAGCAGGACCCTGGAAAGGGAGGGTGGGAATGACCAGGGCAGTGTTGTCCCTGTTGTGAAGTTCGTGTTGTGGGGGCTCTGTTCCACAGGTGCTGCTTTGTGCTTCCAACCAAAACAACAGCATTGTGGAGTGCTGGTCCCTTAGGAAGGAGGGCCTGCCTGTCAACAACATCTTCCAGCAAATCTCTCCTGTGGGTAAGTGTCTGCTCTGGGCACTCTCAAGAACAGAGCTTGGTCTGAGGGAAAAAACAGCACAGTTTCTCACATCCATTATCCCATATTTGTGATTATTCAGAATCTTATGCTTACTTTCAGGTGTTTTCAGTCCATTCTGTCTGTTTGCATCATAGGCAGCAAGTTGCTGTTTCCAGGAAGGGGTTTGATTGTTGCTTTCACTTCATAAAAGATTTTAAAA